CCGCTTATCTCTCTTTTCATAAAAGCAGAGTCTGTTTATCCTTGAAAATGGCGTTCCTAAAAAATATCCAGATTATCTTTAGATAAACTAAGCGGAATTTGATCTCCTGGCAGCAAAGCCACTTCTGAGTTGTTCTTCTTTTTGCTTGCTCCTGTTCAAACTTTATCTCGAGCCGATTTCATTGACTTTTCTAAGTCAGGGTCACGTGGGTATGTTTCTTTTTAATCCAAACCGTCAAGCCCATTTCTTCTTTCGGCTGTTTTGGCTTCTATTGCGGCCCAGTTTTCCTAACGTCTTTTGGGCCACGTGATATTGGCCTGTTTGCTTTGCTTAATGGACTGGACGTGCTGATGGGCTGAAATCGTTTCAAGCGGCCCAGGAAGTGATGTGGGCTCTTTGCTTTTGGTTTTGGCGTGTCAAATTTGGGCCCAAACAGAAGGAAACATGCACTTAAATTTAAACTCATGGATTTTAAGCTACCACATACATGAATCAAACATTCAAAGAAGCGGAAGCGACTTTTAGATCTTATTAAGCCTAATGCTACCAAATTCCAAGTATCTTTCTAGGTCTAATCTCACTTATGCACAAAAGAAAAGAGAGGAAAGGATGAGGCTTTCTTATCCTTGAAGCTCTCTTGGATGGTCTCCGAGTTTTCACCTTTGGAAAGACCTTCTTCCTTGTTGCTTGCTTCATAGAGTCTTCACAAGGTACCAAAGTAGATACCCTCTAGTTCATACACACAAACGTAGTGTAAGAGATGAAGAAGATGACCAAGAGGAAGTAAGGTGCTAGCCCTCTCGTCTTGGTGGCCGGTTCTAGCATGGTAGAGTGGAGATTTCTCTCCTCTCAAATCCACTCCAAAGTTGGATTCTTTAAACCATAGAAAGAAAACAGTCTAAGTGTGGCATATATAAGTCAATGCAAAAGATGAAGCAAAACCCCATTCTTGTATTTTAGCCATAGTGTTTCTTGGGTTCATTTAACTTATGTTGTCATACAACACATGTTCTCTTGGGCTCATTTAATTCCAATTTTTTTAGATCTTGAAAATTGTTTGGAGTTCAATACGAAACAAGTTTATGATCTTAAAATCACTCTTTGAAAACTCATGTTTTTTACAAGAATCATAGTTTTTGAATTTACTTTTTTAAGTAAGATACCAAACAAGGCTTAAAGCTCCCGAAATATTAAGGCTAATTTAATGATATGCCCTCTGAAGGTGTATTTGAGTCTCACTTTGCCCCTTGAAACTCATTTTGTCTCACTTTACTCCTTTTTTCACACAAATTGGTCTCACTTTGTCTAGATTCCGGCGAGGCCAAAAATTTCCGGTCAAAATATTAATTAAAATTTAAAAACTCATGGAATGCCAATAGCTTTCTTCTCCGGGTTAAGAAGAACTGGCCTGAGTTCACTAAGTTCATCACGAGCTTTGACCCAGATGTCATTGCAATACAGGCGAGCCATTCTTTCTCTTTCTACGTTCCCACTTCAAATTTTGGCTTGTTTTCATTTGGGGGGTTTGAGAGACATTGATGAACTTGTGATGGCAAATGGGTATGGCTATTTTGATTATTTTCGTATGCTGGGATATTTGGGTGCTTTCTTTTGGGGCATGTGAACGTTGATGCATGTGTTTAATGGGACGTGGTCTCCTAATGTTTTGAGCTCTAGGGGAAATTTGGTTGCTGGGTTTGAAAATTTGATACATTTGTTGTAGTAAGGGTCACAGTTAATCAAATTTTTACTCTTTTGGTTTTAAATATTTAATTCGTGCTGTTCACACTTTAGTTAGTCAGATTTTAAAAGCGTGGTTTGTGCACTTGATCTTGTCATTTGGATTCATTGTAGAAGTTGGCTAGCTAGATTGGTGCCTTTTATTAATATTTTCTAGGTATATTTTTAATTTAGTTTTGGATTTGATTTGATATTTTCTTTCGTGATTTAGTATCTGAATCAAACTCAACCTTGTTAGTTGAATCCTTTACTGAGTTCATTTTGTTGGTCTATATTTTTGTCTATATGCTTTGCTAAGTACTACTAATTCTAAAAGCAATCGCTTCGGCACTTGCATGTGTAACAACTTTCTAACTGCGCATTGATATTAGGAAGTAAGGATGCCTGCTGCTGGTTCAAAGGGTGCACCTAAAAATCCAGGAGAGTTGAAAGATGACACTAGCTCATCACGTGAAGAAAAGCAGGTATGATATTCTTATGAATAAAAAATTTTGGGTGGGGAGTGTGCTTGTTGAACTTGAACTGTTGCATTCCATTCCTATCATCGATCATTGTCATGCTCAAAGCATTGGAGTTTCATACGACACTGCAAAAATTCAGTACATTCCCCAGTTAATACTCTACAAAGCCTTGAGTTCTTGATTGGTTTAATGATTTTTTTCATACCTTTTGTACAAGTTTGTTCTCTTAAGAGTTGTTAGTTTTCTTAAGGGGGCATAATACTAGGATGTTCTCATAGATCTAAAAGCTTATGAAATTAAGCTTCGTGATTGAGTTAAATTCACCATCCCTTCATTCCACCTTCCTTACTTATATAATATTCTCACTTGTATGTTTGATCATTACATGCAAAGACGCCCAAAACGATGATCTCTACTAATCTATATGTTGGTTATCTTTTCTCCTGTCTCAAATTGTGCAGATACTAATGCGTGCCTTGTCAAGTCCGACCTTTGGAGATTATCGTGTTTGGTGGTCTCTTTCAGATTCAAAGTATGCAGGGACTGCATTGTTTGTAAAGAAGTGTTTCCAACCACAAAAAGTATTTTTCAATCTTGACAGAAAAGGTTCGCTGCTGGTTAATAATCTGTTTCTGTTAATAACATACACCCACTTAAAGTCCCATATGAAACCAGCCCTATTTTCAAGATGCAAACATCTTTGCTACCTACCAATTAGTTTTGGATAATTTTATTCTACTATTATATAGTAAATATCCAAATGATGAACTTTATGCTTTTGAAAATTCTGTAAAATTAACTCTTGGAAAAGAATGCACTATTGTTAGTTTTCAAATGAGAAAATGGGATGTATATGTTGTGGTCCAACGATGCAGTGGGAAATCATTTTTAATCTCTGTGCTTGGATGTCTATCCCCGAATGTTCTTTTTCTTATATTTACTTGCACATGGAACAGCAGTCAGCTAATATAATTCTCTTTGTTGTTAGCTTCAAAGCATGAACCAGATGGCCGGGTCATCTTAGCTGAATTTGAGACCTTTAATTTGTTGAATACATATGCTCCAAACAATGGTTGGAAGGAGGAAGAAAATTCATTCCCAAGGAGACGAAAATGGGATAAAAGGATTTTAGAGTTTGTTCTGCAGTCTTCAGATAAGCCTCTCATATGGTGTGGTGATCTGAATGTTAGGTGAATGTTTTTCTTTCTTGCAGATGTTTTATCCCCTTAAAATCTCTTGTATCTTCACTCCCTCTCTCCCGTTTTTTCTTGCTCTGTTCTCATCGAGTGTATCAGTCTTCTTATTGTGGAACTTATATTTTTCCTTCTTAATCTAAACTTCTATACAGCCATGAAGAGATTGATGTGAGTCATCCGGATTTTTTCAGTGCAGCAAAGCTTAATGGTTACGTTCCTCCAAATAAAGAGGTGTTATATTTATTACTGAAGCTACTAGAACATAATTATGGTTGCATATCCATAGTGATTAGTATGTGTTTTTTGTTGACTAGCCATATCTTACCTACATTGTTAAAAATGTAAAGAATGAAATGAGTAGTGACCACTCTTGTGGATGCTTATGCATTTCTTTTGTCAGGAAGTATTTGGTGGTCCCATGGATTTGAACTGCTTCATTCCTATGTACATAGAATATGGAGGTTCCGATCCATCATCTGGTATTTGACATTTGAGATAAATTAGAACTTACTACAAGAACTGAAGCCATGCAGTTGTGAGATTCAAATGCTTCTTTAGGAAAACTGGAGAAAACTGACCCAAACTTTTAACCTTCTGCAGTTTATGAAAGCAGATCTGCATGGCTGAGATGGGTCTTTTATGAAAGCAGATCTCTAGGAAAAGTTACCATCATTTGTGGTGATGGTTGCACTACGAAAGCCTGTCCTTGTTTCATTTGATTAACAGTGTATTGAGTTTTAGTATTAGACAATTAGCATGGGGAATGGATGCAGGATCGTGAGGCTACATGTCAAATAAAAATTTGTCCATAATATGTGGTTTTGCTTTCTTGGTGATGCAGGATTGTGGACAGTCTGGATTCACCTTGGCTGAGAGGAAGCGTTTTGGTAACATATTGAAAGAGTATGTGACTCCACTGGAAAACTTTGTTTCCATGGTTTGCTTGAGAATTAGTATGTTGAAAGGATAACCTATAAATTATTGATATTCGTGTCTCTTTTTCCCCATGAAACTGAGGCCAGTTAAAAAAAATATCATGCCAATTTGTATCACAATTTGTGGCTGCTCTACCTGCCTCTGCCCTTGCCCTTTTTCTCCTTTTTTGATTTCAATGGAATTAACAAAGTTGTTGAACCACTCTTTAGTTTATTTATTTTATAAGACCCCAAGTTTATTTAATGCTGCTTGTCCTGTCCATGGAAATTGGGTATGTTAGTCATCAACTAATCAACTTGTTCTCCTGTTGGCTTTAGTTGTTACCATCTATCTTAGATTGAGTGCACATAGAGGGAGATGGAGGGCTGAAAAAAGGAAGAGATCTCACTGCAAAATAATTTGTTACATTTCCTATATTTAGACATAATTTACTTAGAGGAGGTAGCTACTCAAAGAATAACTTGGAGAGCTAGGTTTTTCTTTCTCGTTATATGTTTGTTTCTTCATGAAGTTTTGAACATCGTCTGATTCGGGTTCTGTGGATTATGCTTCAGGGGAAAGCTAATAGATGCATACCGGTTCCATCACAAGGAGAAGGACATGGAGCGTGGCATCTCCTGGTCTGGAAACCCCATAGGAAAGTAAGAACTTAATATCATATGGATCAATATCCACAGGAATTTGATGTTGAAAATAATTTGCATTGGATCATTAATGTTAGATCCATTGCAATGTTTGCATATCTTTGCATTGGCCAAAAATTTCCGGTCAAAATATTAATTAAAAATTTAAAACTCAATTAATATAAATTATGCTTTAAATATTTAATCTTATTTAAAATTGAATAATTAATTTTTAATTAATATTTTGACGAGAAATTGTTGGCTTCACCAGAATCGAGGCAAAGTGAGGCAAATATGTGTGGAAAAAGGAGTAAAGTGAGCCAAAATGAGTTTCAGGGGCAAGGACGGATTCACAAAAGTAGGCTAATATTTTTCTTGGCTTTGGGGACTCAAGGTAAAATAATAATAATAATATAATAGCATTTAAAATATTTCAAAACCAAAAAGTAACAAATAAAATAATAAAATAACATCTTTAAAATAAATAAAAAATTCAAAAACAAACCTTTCTCCCTATCTCAAAAATACTATGCAGCTAGAAAAAGCAATGCAAATGCAATTCAACAGAAGCAATCCAAACTACAGAGGGACCAGACCAACCACTATTTTTAACCTCAAGCCTTGGAATTTTAACTTCAAAACCACCTTAATTAGTTGACACTTGTAAAAATATTTAAAATAGAGCCAAAGAAGAGGGGTTTACCGTTTATTTTGGCAAAAAAAGGAAAGGGGGTTTACGACTGCTAGGGAACATAGAGCATGAAGAAATTATTAAATTTTCATGTTGGGAGACATTAAATATTTCCCATGTTTGTTTTGATAGTAATTTATTTTTACTACCATGTTATTTGTTCCAAAAGCAATCATAAATGTGTTTATTTAGTCAAAAGAGGTGAGCTAATATCAAACAAAAAACAATCACAGGCCAAGAGACTAAGATTGTGGGCTAATAATTTTTGGAGTAGTAGCTTATAAAATTTGTACTGAGTTTAGTATTTTAAAAATTTTACACCGTACTAGACCCCAACCTAGCATGTACATGGATTCGTTCTTATTAAGAGGGCAAAGTGAAACTCAAATACATTTCCAGGAGGTATATAAAAAAATAAGCCAAATATTAATACAAAGAGAGATAATAGAATGGGAAAGTCAATATAAAAAATTAAATACAATATATCATTATATTAAAAAATATATATAAAAAATTAGTTTGTTTAAAAAAATATAAATTTTGTTTGTTTGTTTAGTTTGTTTATATTAAAATATAAAAATACAAAAATAAAAATATATATTACAAATGGATCATTATATTACTAATTACTTGTGTCAAATAAAATTGGGATAATTATCTTGACAATTTGACAATTTGACATTTTGACATTTTGCCGTCCAAAATATCCAATAAGGCCTTGTTTCTTTATTGCCGATTCAAAGACATTTGAATATTTTAACAGTATAGCCGATCGGCTATACCCGTTAAATATATTCCAGACGAACACGAAGCTTGCCCTGGCAGAGTACGGAACTTGCACTCGCAGTCAAGCCATTTCCCTTCTCTATCAACTCAAGCTTCGATTTGGTTTCGGCATCGAAAAAAGACCCAACCCGCCTAGGCGCCCGCCTAGCCGCCCACCCACCGCCTAACCG